CTGAGGTCAGAACAGGACAGCATTCGGACCCCAGTGTGTAGAAATCCCCCTCAGGTCAAGCAGGTCAAAGGTCATCCAGTCTAGAAAAGTGAAATCCTGGAATCTGACAGGAACAAATCAATAATCAATGATAGATGCTTCAACACTTTGATCAGAACCTGGAATGATTTTACTGACTAAAATCCTCCAAGACATCATGACCCAGTACCAGGTTCTGGTTCTGGTTCTGGTTCTGAAGTCAGCAGGTCTTTATTGGAGCAGCAGCTTGTTGGCATTAATATTCATGAGAATCTTTAACTGGTTCTGTTGGACTGGTTAACCTGCATCCTGTTGGTTCACATCTTTTATTCTTTATTCAGGTTGGAGGACTGCAGTTTGTCAAAGATCAGCTGTGATTATTTGGTCTCAGCTCTGAAGTCCAACCCGACCCGTCTGACAGACTGGACCTGAGAGGAAACTACCTGGAGGAATCAGATGTTCAGCAGCTGAAGGATCTTGTAGAGACTTTATTGTAAGTAAATGTTTGCAGTGAGTCCAGCTGCTGTCAGCATATTGAACTAAACCCAGTCAGCATCAAAGCAAAGATCCAGTGTTCCCAGTAAAGCTGCAGCTTCTCAGTGGGAGGAGAATGGTTCAGGCTTCCTGATTGGACACAGCAATCAGCCAATCAGAGGAACAGCAGCTTGCTGTGTTGTTGCTGTGTCCATGTCTTCCATCCAGGACGGACTCCAGCATCCAACATGTCTAGAGACAGTGGTCCTCATTCATCAAACAGCAGCAGATCTGATCTCAGACCTGCTTGTTCTCTCAGTTCAACAGGAAACAACTGATCAGGTTCATCTTGGTCACAGCTCTGAGATCAGTCTGACTGGAAACCATCTACTGGATGTGCTGCGTCACTGACTGCTACTGGAAACACTCACTGATCTGCTCTCCTTCCTTCTTCTCTCTGCAGGTGGAGGATCTGATGATCTCTGTAAAGTAGAGAACGTCTCTGTGTCCTGCTGATCCTCACAGGTTGAAGCTGCAGCAGTTTGAGTCTAAAGAGACTCTGGATCAAGATGATGACCTTTGACCTCAGAACATTTTCTATTTCAAATATTTTCCAGACGTCGATTGTTGAAGATTTTCAGTTTTATTTTTCATCTGATCTGTTTGATGATCTGCAGGAACAAAGAGAGAAAAATACTCTGAGTTTGTTAGAAAAGTTCAATTGAGCAGAAAAATGAAGCATAAATTTAATTTTAAAAGATTTAAAGAGCTTGTTATTGGGACAAAATGTAATTTTATTCTGTTTTGATGAAAAAGTTGATCTAAAATCAGACATGATAGCAGCTCTATAGATTCAGAGCCAAACAGTAAAACTTCCTCTGGATCTGTGGCATTAAATCCACTTGAGATCCAGACGTCCTGACCAGATCCTGCAGAGAAAAGAAACAATATTTGAACGTGGATCATTTGGACTCGGCTGCTTGGATGTGTGTTTGGATTTGAAAGGTTTTGTTGTGAAGCAGAAAGTTGATGAAGTTCACAGTGAAGACGACTTCAGTCCACCTGAAACCTGGTTTCACTCAAACGTCTTTATTCACTTTAAGTTTCTGATGCAACAAGAAGGAAGAAAAGGTCAAAGGTGAACCAGAGATCGACTCCATGTTGCTCACAGATGTGATGGGAACAGTTTGCACAGCTGTTGTTCAAGGAGAACAGTTTTATTTTCCTGCTTTTGTTGATGGATGCAAATTTGCATCAGAAGATGAGAAAATAACTTTCTGTGGTTTATTTGTGTGGATTTAAAGTGGAACAAGTTTAAAGAAAAACTAGAGGAGAAACCTGAGCCAGCGTTCTGACAGACCAAACACTGAGGAAGCAGAGTTTGCATCGTCAAAGTGACAAAATCATCTGAATGTTGTGACTCGTTTCCCATCAAATCCCTGACAGGAGAAGCAAAACCTCACGTCTCCAACATGAAGCTGCAACAGGATGCAGAACTTCCACCGAGCGTCACGTCACTCACAGCAGATCAGGAGCCTCGCTCTTCACCTCAACACCGCCTAAAACCTGGGACCAGGGGTTAAAGGTCATCTCCTGCACCTAGTGCAACATTTCACTTCTCATGAGAGCGCGTCTCAGTTTAGAGGCCAAAACCAGCAAGAAGCTTCAGAGTTTTCCTGCAACGTAGCTCTGGTCTGTTGGCTTCAGTGAGGCTGGTTTTACTGAAGATGTGTTCAGGTACGCAGGAAAATTCAGCGCTGATACAGACGGGACGAGCGACTCCACCTCTGATGATGCTTGGATAAAAGTTTATATGTTCATGAGATGAAACAGTTAATTTTCCTCACATATCAGGACATTCTCCATCGGTCATCCTGCCGTCGTTCTGGATTTATTCATTATTTACATCATCAATAGAAATTGTTCAACAGATGTTTCTCTGTTTTAATTTTCACTGTTATAAAGTCAGATCAAGTCAGCTTACATTACTGTCATTAAATAAGAGTCACTGCAGGATTTTATTCAGTTTGATCTGAAATAAAACGTCCTGTAAAGAGTTTATTACAGCAGCTTTGTTTTATGATCTAAAACAGTTTTATGACATATATAAATCCAAACAGTGAATAAAAATATATCAGGATAATTGAGTCAGTAAACTGTGAATATGACTCAGGAAGACTGTTAGTTTTTCTCTAAACTCCACATTAAATGTAAATAATGCAGCATTATCAAGACTGTAGTTCTCACTATGGCCACCAGAGGGCGGAAATATCCCGCTCTCAACATAGAGGTGAGTTTGCAGAGCTGCGGCTGATTTCAGACGTTTGTTTAGTTGATTATGTTTATATCATTTTCATGATAAATATTCATATTATTATGGTCTGTCTAAAGGACTGACAGTTGATTTAATATATAGATGTTATTTACATACAGATAACTCATCTATATTTCCTAAATAAATTACATATTAATATTCCCTGATGAAATACTTAACAGGTTTGTTCGCCAAGATGCTGAGTTTCCTGTTTAGTTAGAATATGTTTTAAATAATTCTTTTTTCTGTAAAACAAAAATAATTACGATAATTTGGCTTCAGAGCCCAATAATATAATTTACATCAAATCGTAAGAAAATTACATACTTTTGCTTTCTGATAAGATAATAAACTATCAGAAAGCATAAGTTCTGATAGTTATGCTTTCTGATAGTTACATTAAGTACATAAAGCTAATGAACTTAATGTACTTACATTAAGTTAGCTTAATGTACTTAAGTACATTAGCTTAATGTACTTAAGCTAATGTACTTTAGCTTAAGTACATTAAGCTAAAATGTACTTAAGTGTTTTATTAAATTCTCAATAAAACACAGAGAATTTAGGTCATTGTGTTATTTTGAAAGAATCCAAAGGAAGTGCTTTTCATATATCAGCTCTCTAACTTTACTCTTGTATTTACACACTGTGTCCACTAGGGGGCAGACGGCTATGTTAGCAGATAGCTAGTTTCCAGCTCTTGATCGGCTTTCTTGTTGCTCTCTTGGTGTTTCTGTTGTTATTTCTTAAATCTTCTTCCTATCTTAACATGAAATAAATGTTTTATCTGTCAATGTGAACTAGAAGCAGCTCCACAGAGATGAACCAGACCGCAGAGACTCTGAGCGGAGCTAGCGGAGTCTCAGAGTCCTGCTAGTCTGTTAGAATATGCTAACAGACTAGCAGCAGCTTCAGAGGAGCTTTGGCTCCTAAACTATTTCAGATTAGGGCGGCATTTGCCCTCTAGTGGACCCAGATGGTAACTACAGCTGCTTCATAAAGTTAGAAAGTTTACATTACACATACACTTCCGGTGAGTACTTTCACATTAAGACCTATAGAAACGGGGTGTTTTACTGTTTGCTTTTGTTTCAAATAATATATTTAACTTTTATGAAACAAAAACATTATACACAAAAGCAGCAAATTAAACGCTGCTGAGGTTTTTTCCACCCACATGTAATTTTTTTATTTCTTCAGATAAAAGTATTTAAATAACATTAATGTGTGATACCTTAATTCAGAGATTAAACTCAGTCATGCTTTTTTTTTATTAATTATGAGATTAACAAATTTTCAATGAACAAAAAAATTAATTAAATCCAACCACTCGTAATATTTTAAACTGTATTAATTTTTCATATTTAATTTTTCTCCAGTAGTTTTCATCCTGCTAAATGTTTAATGTTTGGATTTGAACGTAAAAATATTTTTAATGATTATATTTTTTCAGCCTTTAATTCTCAACCAGTTCAACTTTCAGGGAGGATTTTTAGTTTAGTTTTCTTTTCAGTTATAGTGACTCTTATTTAACAACATTATTAGAAGCTCATTTTTATGACTTGATCAAAATGAAAATTACAACATATATCAATAAATGATCGATAAAGGATATCTGTAGTTACCACAGATCTCCACCATGGCAGTAAGAACTAATCAAACTTTATAAATAATTTCTATGAAAATATGTTTGTGTGAAATAAATGAGAATAACAAGTGAACGTTCAGTTCATCCGTTTGATTCGCCTCTAAGCAGTGAACTTTAATCAGCTGCTCTAATAAAACGTCAGTGGCTGAGCGGCGCTGTTGCTTTTCAAAATAAAGACATATATTAAAATATCATCAGTGTAATAATTCTCTTTGGAGGAATTTCTAATGCAGGCTGAATATAAATACTATACAAATATGGAAATTATAACAAGTTTTAATCACAAATACTCCAAGAATAAATCTCCATATTTTGATATTTTAATTCAGTTTAACTAAAATATTTGTGGCCATTAATGATGATGTAGTTTCAGATTTTGACCACTAGATGTCAGAATAACTCCTGGTTTTATTTTGCTGTTTTCGTTTCTAATGTTTAAGTCAAACATAAATAATCAGATGTAATATTTATTGTAGAGAATAAAATATTAATTTGATATTAATTTGTGACCCATCAATTTATTAAAAACCTGCTTCCGGTATTTATCGCTCATTTCGCTGCTGAACGAGCTTTTGCTGTGAAGTAACGCGAGATCTGGTAGGTAACGCGAGAGCTGCGGGCTGGTGCCTCAGTCTGTGTCGCTGCTGGTCTCTTCGTGGGTTTGTTGTGTAAATGTCCTGCGTGATGTTCTGCCGGGATTAGTCCACGCGTCCAAGAGGACAACATGGCGGCGGCGACAGAAGGTAAGGCCCGTTGTCATGGCAACACGGTACCGAGCGCAGCTTGCTGATGTCCTCCGTGGACAGGTGTCCCCCTCCCCACTCCCACGGAGGACATGAACGGGGCCGGGTCGCTCATGGACTTCCTGGACGAGCCGTTCCCCGACGTGGGGACCTACGAGGACTTCCACACCATCGACTGGCTGAGGGAGAAGTCCAGGGACACGGACCGGCACCGAAAGGTTCTGGAGGGCTGGGTTCGGCTTGTGGGGCGATGCCCACCCGCTCACCGTGTGCGTGTTTGTCCCGCAGATCACCAGCAAGAGCAAAGAGTCCATCTGGGAGCTGATCAAGAGCCTCCTGGACGCCTGGTCCGGATGGGTGGTGATGCTGCTCATCGGCCTGCTCTCTGGTACCGACCGACCCGGTTCCGTCCGGGACCCGGTTCTGTCTCTGTAACTCTGGTACCGAGCGATAATTCACACACCTGCTAGAAACTGATGGTTCCATTATTATCCTTTCTCTCGGAGAATGTGGACCGGTACCGATAACAGTACCGGTACCGAGTTGGTTCTGAGGCCGGAATGATTTTAGCAAAAGTTTCACATAAATGATGGAAAATAATGTTTGTATTTGAAGCTGCAGCTCAGAGCATCGATGTGTTGATGATGGAAACATTTGGATTCAAACAGTTTTAATGATCATCAGGTTTTATAAACTTTGTGTTTTTGTTCATTAGACTCTAATCTTCCTACAGAGTCTTTAAATCTTTGGTTTAAAGACTTTTTATCAAGAAAATAGAAAAGCTCCCAGTTCATTTATACAGCTTCCATAAACAACAACTTTTATCCTGGACATTATCATAAGCATAACTTTCCCCTCATAACTGTTTTATTGGGAAAAACCAAACATTAGCTTCAAGCATAAATCCCTATTTCTTTAGAACTATGTGGGAAATGATGTTCTATCTGTAAACAATTGTTTAATGATGGTTAATTTATTAGGAAATATAATTTTCCCTGCAGAATTTTCTGTTGTTTTCTATCAAGTTTCTCATATCAACCTCAAGTTGAGACCAGATCCAATATTCCAGATTTCCAGAGTCATTTATTGGTCATTCAGAGCCGTTCTTTAGTATGAAAACCAGAAATCAACATATTAGAGAAATAATTCAGATGAATAATATTAGCAAAGCTGCTTCAATCTTTTATTGGAACAATCTTTATTCAGATATTGATTGGGAACAAACATGGTTATTGCCAAGAAAGTGTTTTGTGTCTATAATAAAGTACGGGAGGCGTCAAAGTTTTCTGCAGGTTTTAAATATTGTAAATTCAGAACTGAATAAATATTTTCCAAATATCGATCCCCTTTGCTCCTTTTGTCATTAACAGGTGGCGCCACTAGGTGTCGCTCTCCCCGCAGCCTGAGGCTCCATCAAGGGGAAACTGGAGGTCAGGTGTTGATTTCCTGGTTGATTCAGGTGTGGTTGGGTCACACGTTGTTGGTTGATGGTCGGGAGTCACGTTACCTGGGTGTTGGTGCTCGACGCTGTAGGTACGTTTTATACTGTTGTTTTATTAAAGATGAATTGCATGTTTTTTATGTTTTGTTCTTATTTGGTGGATCCACCAGATTTGAGCTGATGGTGATTTGTGCCATGCAGGCAGGCAGCGTTTTTAATGTGTGTTTAGATTGACTTGATGAAAATGATTGAATAAGTATTTAGTCGTTTTATGTTTTTACAGTGGTTGCTGTGCCGCCTGCTGTCTTTTAGAGTTTTGTTTTCCTTTTGTTCTGATTGTTTGTCTTTAGTAGCAGCTGTGAGGGCGGGGCCAACAACTTTTCATTGTTGGTTGGTTTTTGTTTGAGGCACTTAATGTTTGCTGTGATCCCCTCTGTGGGACACAACCACAAGATAAAGCTAGCAGAGAATCAATAAATATGATTATTATCATCATCCTGGTGAATATTTGCTGCCTTTCGGCCAAAGAGGAACTTGGAACCAGAAACTTTCACCCTTTTTTGGGAATTTTCGAAAAACGTTTTTCTGTGTCTTCAATATTGTCTTTAGTTGGAAATGTAATATATTTATTCCTTTGACTGTTCAACATGTTTGCTTTGGTATTTCCAATAATAATCTGGTTGGAAAGAAAATATTGTAAACGTTGTGATCCTGTTGGCCAAGTTTCTCTACATGCTGTAAATAACAAACCAACTTCAGAGTTTTTACAGTTTCTCTAAGATGTTTTATGGAGTCTTTAAAGATGTGCATCGACTCTAAAGCTATGAAACTTCTAACCTGAATTTGATTTGTAAACTGTGGATTTGTTCCCTCAGCATCTCCAGCATATTACTGCCTGCTGCTGTATTTTCTTTATTGGGAATAAAGTTTATTCAGAAACTGTTTCCATGGTGTCTGCCATGAATATTAATGACTTATCTAAATTATTTACCTGATTTTCATTTCATGGAAACGTTGCTTCAGTCAAATTGTTTGTTTTTCTTCACATCAGCAGAAAACGGACTGAGATCTGCTGACAGAGAGTGATGAAGACGCCTCCAGGCCTTCATCTCTGCAGCTTGTCCTGCCTGCTGCTGCAGCACTCAGACACCAGCAGCTCTCACGGGGCCCGGCGGTGGCAGCGTCATGCTGCGGCTTCTCTGTGTTTCCTGCATTAGAAGGAAGGCGGCGTCCTGCTGTCCTGGAGGACCTGCTGTTCTCCACCAGGCAGAGGGACAGGAGGACGTCCCAGTGAGTCTCCAGAGGACGGAGACGCCGACCGCCTCGCCGTCTCGGCTCAAAGAGGTCGAGGAGACGCTGAAGGTCACCATGGAGACGACCTCTGCCGGAGCGCTGGACCGACTCCTGCTCTAGAAGTACGCTTTTTCTCTTTCTACTTCATGGCTTTAAGACACTTTTCTCTTTTTATTGGCTTTTATTTTCATAGAAAACGTTTTATTACAAATTCAGATTCTTTTTCGTCGTTATTATGAAAAGTATTAGTTTTTAATTTGGTTTTTATCCAAAACAGTTTTCATTATAATAAAACTAATTATAACTTTATTGGTTCTTTAAAATTCTTCAGAGTAAAAAGTCTTTTTATTTTTGAGAAGGCTATATTTATCTTAATAAAATAATGTTTTATATGCTGAAGCTTTTTACATTCACTATGAACTTGAAAAGCATCCACTGGGACCAGCTTCCCCTCAGCATGATGCTGCCTCCTCCGGTCTGGACCAAGGTGTCGTTTCCATGGTGACAGCGTTTCCGCTGGTTACATGTGCAGGTGCAGCAACAGGCCGACGGACGAGGCGCTCACCGACCTCAGAACATTTTCTATTTCAAATATTTTCCAGACGTCGATTGTTGAAGATTTTCAGTTTTATTTTTCATCTGATCTGTTTGATGATCTGCAGGAACAAAAGAGAGAAAAATACTCTGAGTTTGTTAGAAAAGTTGAATTGAGCAAAAACATGAAGCATAAATTTTATTAAAAAGCTTTAAAGAGTTTGTTAATGGGACAAAATGTCATTTTATTCTGTTGAGGTGAAAAAAGTTGATCTAAAATCAGACATGACAGCAGCTCTATAGATTCAGAGCCAAACAGTAAAACTTCCTCTGGATCTGTGGCATTAAATCCACTTGAGATCCAGACGTCCTGACCAGATCCTGCAGAGAAAAGAAACAATATTTGAACGTGGATCATTTGGACTCGGCTGCTTGGATGTGTGTTTGGATTTGAAAGGTTTTGTTGTGAAGCAGAAAGTTGATGAAGTTCACAGTGAAGACGACTTCAGTCCACCTGAAACCTGGTTTCACTCAAACGTCTTTATTCACTTTAAGTTTCTGATGCAACAAGAAGGAAGAAAAGGTCAAAGGTGAACCAGAGATCGACTCCATGTTGCTCACAGATGTGATGGGATCAGTTTGCACAGCTGTTGTTCAAGAACAGTTTTATTTTCCTGCTTTTGTTGATGGATGCAAATTTGCATCAGAAGATGAGAAAATAACTTTCTGTGGTTTATTTGTGTGGATTTAAAGTAGAACAAGTTTAAAGAAAAACTAGAGGAGAAACCTGAGCCAGCGTTCTGACAGACCAAACACTGAGGAAGCAGAGTTTGCATCGTCAAAGTGATGAAATCATCTGAATGTTGTGACTCGTTTCCCATCAAATCCCTGACAGGAGAAGCAAAACCTCACGTCTCCAACATGAAGCTGCAACAGGATGCAGAACTTCCACCGAGCGTCACGTCACTCACAGCAGATCAGGAGCCTCGCTCTTCACCTCAACACCGCCTAAAACCTGGGACCAGGGGTTAAAGGTCATCTCCTGCACCTAGTGCAACATTTCACTTCTCATGAGAGCGCGTCTCAGTTTAGAGGCCAAAACCAGCAAGAAGCTTCAGAGTTTTCCTGCAACGTAGCTCTGGTCTATTGGCTTCAGTGAGGCTGGTTTTACTGAAGATGTGTTCAGGTACGCAGGAAAATTCAGTTCTGATACAGACGGGACGAGCGACTCCACCTCTAATGCTTGGATAAAAGTTTATATGTTCATGAGATGAAACAGTTAATTTTCCTCACATATCAGGACATTCTCCATCGGTCATCCTGCCGTCGTTCTGGATTTATTCATTATTTACATCATCAATAGAAATTGTTCAACCAGATGTTTCTCTTTGTTTTAATTTTAAAGTCAGATCAAGTCAGCTTACATTACTGTCATTAAATAAGAGTCACTGCAGGATTTTATTCAGTCTGATCAGAAAAATCACGAATCTGCAAGAAAGCTCAACAACAACAAGCAATAAGCGTATTGTTCTGAAGTGAACTGGATGTGCCACATTGTTTTGTGGGATTTCTTTGTGGCTCAGAGAACTTTATCTGTCCAATTTTCCCGTGATGAAAACCTTTCGTTAATTTGGGTTTTGATTGATCTGCATACTCAATCGCTATCATGGTCATGTGGCCGTTTTCTGACATGATCAAATTCTTTGTCCTAAACTCTGTAAAGAGTTTAACACAGCAGCTTTAGTTTCTTTTTAAATCTGTCTTCATTACATATAAATCCAAACAATGAATTATAATATATCAGAATAATATTTGAGTTAGTAAACTGTCAATATGACTGAGGAAAACTTCGTTTTTATCTAAACTCCACATTAAATGTAAATAATGCAGCATTATCAAGACTGTAGTTCCCACGATGGCCACCAGAGGTCGGAAATACCCCGCTCTGAATATAGAGGTGAGTTTGTAGAGCTGCAGCTGGTTTCTGACTTCTGTTAAGTTGATCACGTTTATATCTTTCTCATTATAAATATTGATATTGTGGTCTGTCTAATGGACTTTAATATATAGATGTGTTATTTACATACAAATAACTCTATATCTACCAAATAAGGTACATATTAATACAATAACAGGTTTGTTTGCCAAGATGCTGAGTTTCCGGTTTAGTCAGGAGAATTTTTAAGAAATAATTATTTCTGGAAAACAGAATAATTACTATAATTTGGCCCAATTATATAATAATAATAATATCGTAAGAAAATTGCACAATTAAGCTTTCTTACAATATAATAAACTTCCAAGCTAAAATGTACTTTCAGGAGAATTTAGTTCCTTGTGTTTTACTTTGAAAGAACACAGAGGAAGTGCTTTTCACATATCTGCTCTCTAGCTTTACTCTTGCTGTCGTTACACACTGTGTCCACTAGGGGGCAAAAGGCTAAGTTAGTAGTTAGCTACTTTCCCGCTCCTGATCAGCTAATGAATCTATTGTTGCTCTCTTGTGTTTCTACTGTTATTTCTTAAATCTGTTTCATATTTTAACATAAAATCAATGTTTTGTTTGTGAAGAAGAAGCAGCTTCACAGAGATGAACCAGATCGCAGACTTTGAGAGGAGCTAACGATGCTACCAGACCAGCAGGAGCTTCAGAGGAGCTGTGGCTCCTAAACTATTAATATCAGTTTAGGGCGGTATTTGCCCTCTAGTGGACCTAGATAGTAACTACAGCCACGTCATAAAGTTAGAGTTAACGTGCACATTCACTTCCGGCGTGTTCTTTCACATTAAGATCGATAGAAACGGGTCATTTTACTGTTTGCTTTTATTTGAAATAATATATTTAACTTTTATTAAACAACAAAACCATACACAAAAGAAGCAAATTAAACTCCGCTGAGGTTTTTTCCACATATAATTTTCTTATTTCTTCAGACAGATAAAAGTATTTAAATAACATTAATGTGTGTGATACATCAATTCACAGATTAACTCAGTCATGGTTTTCTGATTAATTGCGAAAAATTAATTGCAGACTCGGCAACAAATTTTCATTGAATCCAACCACTCGTAATATTTTAAACTGTATCAATTTTTCACATTTAATTATTCCCCGTAAGGTTTTTTCATGTTTAATGTTTGGATTTCAGTGTGAACTAGAAGCAGCTCCACAGAGATGAAAACATCCCGCAGAGATTCCAAACACCGAATTTAAATATGTCAGAATAATATTTGAGTTAGTAAACTGTGGATAGGACTCAGGAAGACTGTTAGTTTTTCTCAAAACTCCACATTAAGTGGATATTAAAAGTAACTACTGCAGCATTATCAGGACTGTAGTTCCCACTATGGCCACCAGAGGGCGGAAATACCCCGCTCTGAATATAGAGGCGAGTTGTCATTATAAATATTAATATTATGGTCTGTCTAACGAACTGATAGTTGATTTGATATATAGATGTGTTATTTACATATTGATAACTCATCTATATCAAGTAAATTACATATTAATGTTTCCTGATTAAATAATTCACGGGTTTGTTCGCCAAGATGCTTTTTTTGTTTTTGTCAGGAGAATATTTTTGAAATATTTATTTTTTCTGGAAAACAGAATAATTACGATAATTTGGCTTCAGAGCCCAATAATGTAATTTATACCATACCGGAAGAAAATGACATACTTATGCTTTCTGATACATTCTAAACTAATAGCTAAAACGTACTTACGGGGGAATTTAGTTCCTTGTGTTTTACTTTGAAAGAATCCAAAGGAAGTGCTAATCACATATCAGTTCTCTAACTTTACTCTTTTTGTCGTTACATACTGTGTCCACTAGGGGGCAGAAGGCTAAGTTAGCAGTTAGCTGGTTTCCCGCTGCCGATCGGCTAATGAAGCCCTTGTTGGTCTCTTGGTGTTTCTGTTGTTATTTCTCAAATCTTCTTCCTATTGTAACATGAAATCAGTGTTTTATCTGTCAGTGCGAACTAGAAGCAGCTCCACAGAGATGAAAACATCCCGCAGAGACTCTGAGCGGAGCTAAAGATGCTAACTGACTAGCAGCATCTTGTTTTACACACAAACTGATTATCAGCAGCTGCAGATTTAAACTCTGATGCTGAACAGCAGCGACTGTCCTGCAGTTCACTGATCATCACTCACTAATGTATTATTAAACTTGTATAAAGGATTAAGGAAATTAATAATCGCTCATAGATTTATTATTAAAGTAGCGTAAATGATTTTAGTGTGTAGTTACAATGTGTGACCACAAGAGGGCGGTAGAAAGCGAGTCTCTTCCAGAAAATAAAATTAAAAGTTAATCTGTTAATCTGTCTATTTTTTATTTATTTATCAAAACATTTATTGGCTTTTCCATTTTATTAATTGTCCTTTCGATGATTTTATCCAGCTTGATGCTCTGATCTCAGCTGGTTGAAGCTTATCACTAATAAATATGTTTTTGTTGATATTTGTAGCTTTTTGACACTTTGATTCTCAAAATTAGCCACAGTTAATATACATATATATATTTTTTTTTTACAGAATGAAATGTAATGTTTTTTCAGCTACATTTTATCAAGAGTCATAGAAATGATTACTTTCTGAGTAGTTGTTGTTCACTTTGTGTCTAAATGATTTTAACAATTTATCTCCATCTCTAATAACATACAAGTATAAAATATATTGATTATTATTCATAGGATTGAGTTAATAAAGCTGTTGTCATTAAAAACAATTTAGTGAAAAGTTTATCAGTTTTATGAGGGTTGATTGAGTTCTTACTGCCCTCTGGTGGTGAACTATCATAACTACAGACATTCTTCATGTAAATTGTTCAACTGGATGTTAATCTTTAGTTTAATTTTACATTTTATAAAGTCAGATCAAGTCAGCTTACATTACTGTTTTTAATTTAAAGTCACTTTAGTATTTTACACAATCTGATCAGAAAAACGTCCTGAAAAGAGTTTAATACAGCAGCTTTATTTTCGTTTTAAGTCTGTCTTCATTTCATATATAATTCCAAACACCGAATTAAAATATGTCAGAATAATATTTGAGTTAGTAAACTGTGGATAGGACTCAGGAAGACTGTTAGTTTTTCTCAAACTCCACATTAAGTGGATATTAAACGTAACTACTGCAGCATTATCAGGACTGTAGTTCCCACTATGGCCACCAGAGGGCGGAAATACCCCGCTCTGAATATAGAGGCGAGTTGTCATTA